GACAAGTTCACATAAAATGATTTACACACCTAACTAGGTATGTGCAAAAGCGTGAATGCCTTTTTGGCATGTCTGTGAAAATTGGGCATGTGTGTGTATCTAACACATATATATATTTATATAACCATTTTGCATTTTATAGACACCACATGCCTGTGGTTAAAGCTGCCTATATTTGTGTTCTAAGGAGCCAGGCTCATAACTCCATCACCCTGCTCTGTGGAATAAAATTTTCCATGGTTGTTCAGACACCAGATTTTTTTCTATAAGTCTGAGGAAATTTTTCCATGGTAAGAAAGTAAAGAGATAACTAAGAAAGAAACGATTATAAACCACATTTTATTTTTGTTATAAAAGCAAAGTGCTTTTAAACTCTTGTTGAACAGATATAATTTGTTAGTGATCTGGAGCAGAAATTTGATGTTTGCAGGACATACAGGGCACTTTTATATGTGCTCCGACACGTTTTGTTTAGAATGCATCAGAGCAGACTCCATTAATTTTGAACCAGTGTCCCCTTGGTTCAAAATGATGGTGGAGGTGCTTTAACTAAAGCCTGTTCAGCAAAATTTAGTTCAAGTGCCCCCACTGCCATTTTGAAATGCAGGATGCTGAACACACAAGACATGGCAGGAGTTTTAATTAGAGCGGCTCCCAAGAGCCACTCTGATAAAAATGCACCCCCAACCCTAGAGCATGTGTACAGACACCCACAAATAGCTCCCTAGGTCACAGATATGCCACTAGGTAACCCTACAAAAGCACATTTTGACTTGCTTAATTATAAGAGTTTAGATAATATTTGTGCTGGCTCTGCAGGTTTTGTTATATGCTGAATGTACTTGTACTGTTTCCTAGTATCTGATTGTTGCTGTGCACTGGAAAGTCTTATTTAATATGTGCACTTTAATATGTGCCTCAGGAGACAGCACATCCAGTCGCCTCTCCTACCACCAGCTTCCAGGATCAGTGGGTCCCCAATCCCATTCTTTCTGTCCCTGGTCTACCTGCCATCCCCTGTGTTACCAGTCAAGGCACCAGGGGGTCCAGCCTTCCCGCCCTGCCTCTAGGGTGCTATAAGCAGGACCCATGTTCCCTAGGCCCTGGGGAAGATTCCCCAAGGCAAGGCGTGCCATGGGGACTGGGGCTGGGATGAAGCCCCACATACCACGTGGAGTCTGGGGGCCTATGGTGACTCCTGAGGAGACAGTATTTACACCAGTCAGGAGTGTCATAGGTTGCCACAAAGCAGTCTAGGATCCTGTCCATGAACTCCCTCTCCTGCTGTTTGGACTCAGTTACAGTACAGGTAGTCTCATCAAAACACCGAGTGGCTATCTCAAGCCCCCATTCCTGGAGCTTGGGTGTAGGCATGTCTCAGCCTCATGATGTCCTCCCATCACATTTGCAGGCTTTCTTCATGCCAGCATCAAAGTTCACAGAGCCAGGAGTCTGCAGCTCATGCCTAGCACTTGGAGGCAGTGACCAGGGCTTCTCGTATCTCCTCCTTCTTGCTTTGTCACCATCTTCCACGGACAGCTCTAATCTGCTCCACAGCTGTGTGGTGGCCCATCCTTGAGTCGCCATCATGGCCTCCCTTCCCATGTGCATGTGTTATCTCTGAGAATAGAGACAAGAGATACTTGTGAAATATACCAAACTTTTCTGATACCACGGGGAAGTTTCAGCCCCTGCTATATCTCAGCCAGGCACTCTTGCAGACAGAGTAGCTGGAAATGATAATTCCCCTGTCCCATCCAGCTCTCATTGGGTCCAGAAGCCATGCTGCATTCCCCTACCCAGCCCAGCTGGGATTGAGTCTCCAGTGGGGTTTGTGCTTTGAGCAGGTGGCAGGCTCTGCTACCATGAGGAGAGGGCTGCCTCACAGGGAGGGGACCCTTCCAAGGAACTCAAGTATGCACTTACTCCTCTCAGTCCATGGCCCTGGGGACACAGGATTGTGCCAGGTTTCTGGCTTTGCCAGAAGCATGCAGGGACTGCCTGCTTGCAGAACACAGATGGAGTTCTCCAACCCTTCCCCTGTCATTGAAGGAGTCGTACTTTCTTCCCACCATCTCTGTGGCAGAAGTCTCTCGGTTCCAGAGGCAGGAGATTTATTAGTGTGTGACCCTCGCCGCCCCCCCCCCGCCCCCCCCCCCCCCCCCCCCCCCCAGTCAATGCCCCACTCCTTCTACAGCTGATGGTACCTTAAGAGTTGTTCAAGTCCTGGAAGAGTATTGCATGCTTTGATGGCACTGCCACAAGTTTGGGAATACTGCTCAACATGCTTGCATTTTATCTCTGGCTCCCAATAAGATGACCTGACACCCCAGGATGTCACCTCTATCATGGCAACTATTGAAGCGGTGTTTGCCTTCTGAGAACCTGGCTGTAGCAAGCTGCTGTCGGAGCTTACATGCCTGTAGGGGTTGCAATCCAGCTACAGGTAGTAAGCAACTGATTGCAGGTCTGCCTAAGAGGACTGGGCCAGCTGAGGAGAATAATTGGAGGAAAAGGAAGTTGAAAGCTCCCAGGGAGAAAACTACACAAGGGGTTGCTCTAGAGAGAAGGAAGACTCTGAGGCCAGAAGCTGCTGCTTTTAACTGGAGTGGCCTTCTCAGGATCTGGGAAAAGACGACAGGATGAGAGAGAAGGCTATGCGGCCAGAAGCAGCAGTGAAACAGAAAACCCTCTCAGGGTCTGAGAAACCTGATAACCCATTACATGGAATGAGCAAGTTTTCTACCCACTTAACACCATCTAAGTACAGCCCTGCCAAATATTGCCCTCAGTACTAATGCTTGGTCTTATGCTTACAGATGAGATGAGTGGGGATGAAAAAGGAGCTGTCCAGCCCCAGGTCTCCCCCTTGACTCCTAAACTGCTGCAAGCTCCCCGCACTCCACACCACTGCCAACGTGCCTGGGGGGTGCCAGAACATCAGGGGTGAGTTAGTGTGCGTTCTCCCAGGGGATAAGGGAAGGGAAGGTGGATGCTCTTTCTAGGAAAAGACTGATGCAGCATAGGGTCTTGAGCATTCAGTGAAGTGACTGCTTCTGCTGTGAGACTCAGAGCTACCTTGCAACTGTGGACACTTTTCTGGTCCCTTATATAATAGAGGTTCTTGGTCCCTGATGTAATGCAATGCCAGCAGTTCCTATTGCTGTGTGTTTTCACATGTCCCTGATTTGAACTTTCTATCTGTCACCTGTCCCCATGGTGTAGTGCAGTTTGGCATGCCGTGGTGTGCAGAACCCCAACACTTGCCACTGCTTCATAGTCTTTCCTTTTTGATGATTAAGCCCTTGGTGATTTGGTGACAACCCATCTGGTGGGGGAGGATGGCAGTTCCTGCTGCAGTGGGCAAGGAGGTGGAATGAAGGAGGTGTTGTTTCAGTGTTTGTGGAGGGATTGATCAGTTCTTCTCAGAAACAGAGGATGGCCTTGTGGGATGCTCAGGGTTGTGTCACTAAATCAAACTTAATTTAACACTTGCTGACAGGTTTCAGCCCTGTACCATGTCCAGTCCTGGTGGTGGCCCTGTGCTCTCACCTCTACAGCAATCTGCTGGAACACCATTTTGTTGTGGTGTGTGCTGCAAAGCTGCTCCTGGGTCTCCTCCTTTTCAGAATGCAGTGAGATCTCTCATCTTCTCAACAGCCCAGTTCTGTGAGTTTCTCATGTGCCTTTCTCACTTAGATTGAGCCTGGGACTCCTTGGGTGTTTCCAGAGTGACCCCAGTTTACTTGGCCTTGCCCCTCCTAGCCCTGACCTTTTCAGGGGTAAAAGGGCTTCCTAGCCCTGAGCTTTTCAGGGACTTGGTTCCTGCTGGCACCAAGCCCCAGATTTTCCAGGGCCTTACATCTGCCACCCCCAAAATATCTGGCAGTGCCCTCCCCAACAAATCCCAAACCTCCCAGGGGTTTCTGTCTGCTGCCCCAAGATGGCTGGCAACAGCCCCCAAAGCTCCAAACTTCTGGGGGAACCCACCCACCACCACAACTACCCTACAACATCCACCCCAAACTCCCACAGCTCAGATATGTGCCAGCAGTGGCCAATCTGGCCATGTGTCACCCAAACTCTGAATTCAGCAGAGTCACCTCCCTGCTGGCCTGTTCCTATCCATCCACTCCATCCATGCCCTGGACCCAAAACACCAGCACAGGGGTCCCACATGCTGGGGTTGGGGCCATGGCAGATTCTGGGTTGTGCTTGGGTCTAGATCTTCAGTTGTGGGGTTTTGGGTCTGCGTCCAAGCCTTTGGGTACTGAGTCTTTGGGTCTGAGTCTTGGGGATCCTTGGATCTGAGTGTTCAAGTCTGTGTGTGGGTCTGGGGTGCTTCAGGGTAGGGTTTTGGGGTCTAGGGGGTGTGGGGATTGGCCTAGGGTCTCAGGTGTCTGGAGGTCTGGGTCATGTGCAGGAGACACAACTGTCTCAACCCCCATGTCTTCATGAAGCCCTGACCACAAATTGTGGGGGGAGAGGTAAAAGTGAGACGGGCTGGGCTTTCTTTGCCCTGTGGCAACCAGGGGGTAGGGTTTGCACTGCGCTCAGCTGGAGCAGTGGAGTGCAGCCTGTGTGCCAGAGCATCAGGAAGAGGGAGTGAAAGGAATACATGCTGGGATGCTGAAAGACAGCACAGTAACTTATATCTATAGGGGAACCATACAAGCATTTGTTAATCCAGTCTAACCCCTAACAGTTTAGTTAGACCTTGTTGGATGACATCTAACTGTGAACCATGCGTTCCATTTTTAGACTAGATTAAGTGCTCTGAACACTTGCACACCTAGCATTTCTATTGCACCAAACTCAGTTCTGCGAACATCTACGAAGGCTGAATGGCATCTGTTTTGATGTTTAATGTTTAGTGTCCAAATATTGCACTCATACATATTTGAAAATATCTTTTAAAAGGGGAGACCTTTTTTGCCTGTTCTGTTACCTCATTTTATATAAATTTGCCTTGTTATCAATTGCAGCAGGTCATCAGGGCAACTGTCAGTCATGGTGGGATTAAGAAAGTAGAAGCTTTTTTTTGGAGCAAGGACAGAGATTGTTGATCTGATCTGGAATGAAATGTTGTGAATATAAATTTAAAAACTTTTAACTGAGATTCCATTCATGACATCTAAATTATTATACTAATAAAAGTAAATTGTATTTTGATTGTGACTAAATGAGAAACATACCATATATATGAGGTATATAATCAGCTTAATCACATGCTGATCCCAGGACAACCTCATCCCAACATGTTATGGGATTACAAATAACATATAGTGCATGCTATTCTTCATAGTAATTTAAATGTCAGTTTGTTAAATGAACTTGAAGACAGATTTGCACTCCTTGAATGCAGAATCATTCCAATAATAATTTTTATTTCTTCCAAAAAATAACTTTATATAAGAATCTCAAATCCTCAAACCCAAAAGAATTCCCTATGGTTCTATCAGCTTCTGACTTTTAGGAGTACCAAATTCGACCAGAAATAGAACAAAACTAATCATTTTGTTGCTCCTAATGGTCCCATACCCTGTATTTTCTGAACCACGCACAAGCAAAAATACAAGTCCTTATGGTTGTATTCTGCCACCCCCAGGATATGTTGTTTCTCTGCAGGACTCTCTGGTTATTTTGAAAGTACATTGCACAGAAGATATTGCCCTGACAGTTAACAGCTTCTTCATGGAGGACAGGCCTGAGCAAAAATCAAGTCTTGCCTGTTGGTACAAACATGACAAGAGCCAATTTACCTAGCCATTTATATCCCCTCCTCCTAAACCAGGTCAAGGTCAATCAAAATCTCACCAGAATGAATGGGGGCCCAATGTACTGAGAGTTGTCTTTGGCCCTCCTAGATATGCTACCATTCCTG